CCCCCCCCCGAGCGAAGCTACAACGGTCCGGTTCCTGTGGGCGCCGCCACGATCACAAGAAAAATCTAGGAAAACTCCTATAGGAGCGAACAAAGCAATTTTCAAACACATGTGGTTGTCCTGGCCATCCACCCGCTAATACCCTCTTCTGTAAGCTGGGCCGAGAGCAGCAACACCAACAGCGCGTGGTGCTGGTAAGGAGAGAAGCCAAGGCATGGAACACGGAAGACAGAGGATTGCTTTCCATCCACTCACCACGGCTCTCCCGGCCGACTGTATCCAATATGGGTCCCAGGGAGTGGATTGCCAGCCTTCCTTCTTGTCCCTCCGTGATCAGGAGCTGGTAGGAATGGAAAGCGGGCGGGCGTGAGCGTGTGCGCGCCTTTCTCCTTAAAGCACACCGCTGTCACGCTCTTTGTGTGTAGGTGACGGTGTCACCATCAACCAACCACGAAGCGTTGACGATTGTTGACGATTGACCAGTGACGTGACGAAGATTCGAAGGCTGAGAGGGGACACGCGGCCGTGACAGGAGCAAACCATGTGGGGGGAGGGGGGCAGACAGCTGGCAGCAAAGGTCGGGCCGTTCTTGCGGGCCGTTCTCCAACCTGTGTGCTAGCATGCACACATGCACACACACCGGCCATGGATAAGATGGGCGCGTTGCGTGCAACGACTTTGAGCTTGGCAGCGGGTGCCCTCCGGATAGGCACTGCCGATGCCGCCGGCAACGCGGAAGTATTCGATCTCGGAGGGAAGCTCTCACCGTTCTCCTATACCGTGGTGAGTATGTAAGCGTTCTCTATTCCTTCCTTTCGAACGAAAGCCTACAGACTTGAAGGATACACACCAGACACCAACAAGCAGCACTTGAATTGGGTAGTGCAGCCAGAGGGGCCGACATGAAGTGTATCCGTCCCCGCCAGGGGAGCAGACATAGCTCCCAGGGAGGTTACGGGTACAGACAACGAATGACCAAGCCAGGAACCTGGAGCTAGCTTGCAACCTCGCATTATGCCGGAAGTAATCGGTTACCCCGCATGCATGGTACGGATGCACATCGTGTGTCTGTTTTTATTCGAGCGAAGCGAGATTTCTAATCTTGCCTGAGAGGGCTCAGCGCAATAT